GTCTATAGAGATAGGGTTTGCACTGTCGGTTTCGTATGAAATTGCAATTGAAGTTTGGAGTGCGATTTCTGATTCAATACAAGCTGATCCCATATTAGATATTTAGATTGAGTCTTTTTTAAATAAAAACAAGAGGCCCAATTCCAAAGAGCCCACAGTTTAAAAAAAAAGTCCAATCCTATTGCTTTCATATTCAACCTCGTGACATGTCCTCAATGCCTGCATGAGTGTGATTGCGTCTTCAAGTTTTCTGCAGCGACTCCGACGGATCTAGCCGCTTTCCCTCGCCGAGTGCTAGATCCACCACTGGTCACAGTAGATTGGATTTGATCGATTTAGTTTTCGCCGATATAAATATATTTTTGCAGATGATTTGTTATGATTTTTATCACCTTGTAGACATGAATTCGTAGTTCATTGGTGCACCTAGAAATCAAAATTTTAAGAACTATTTACCGGATTGGATTCTAGTGTTTGTTAAATTTAAACTACAGGTTCCACATAATATGTGGATAAAAATTAGATAGTAATTGTAGTTGAAAATCTTACTAAATGTTTTGGATGAAAAATATAATTGACCAAAAGTATATATAATTTAGCCCCCATTACTTGGTATGATAATTTTTGGAATAGTGTTTTCTTTGGAGAATGGACGGTTGAAAAAAAAAAAAAAAATTTCGATTTACATATAACATATTTCATTGAAAAATGAGTAGTTGAAAAGAAAAAAGAAAAATGTATTATAATTTTAACGGGGGCCAAAAGGGCTCTAAAACACCTCTCGTGGTAAAATAAAAAACATAGCTTTTCTGGTGCCATGGTTTAGCCTCTTCAACAATCTAGCATGATTGCTTAAACAGATCCACTGAACCCGTATACATAATTTATGCACAAGTTAGACAACCAGCATTAGCAATTTTTCTGCTATATACAAAATTATTTCAATTAATCAAAGTCCAAAAGTGATCAACAAATTCCACAAAGAAGTTGAAACTACATTGACTTGGAGCTACAAAGAGAGTAACCAGATATAAGCGAACTATCTGCTATTGCCACAAATGCAAGGAATGACATTCACACAGAGGCACTAGCCATGTTTGGAAACTTGTTATTCCCCCAATTGGATTGCCATTCATCAATTGTGGTTGCAGCAGATGAAGATGCCGATATTAGAAGATAAGTAATTATCTGTCATTGCAAACTGTTTGACAAGCATTTTGATACTTGATACCATATATGCAAGTTACCGTATTTACAACTTAGATACCGTATATGCAGAATGGACACCGGTTTTACACACTTGATACCGAATTTGCAGTTTAAATACCGTATATGCTTAACCACCGTAATTACACATACATTTTTTGCATATTATAACAGATGAAATTATATATCTAACAAATTCAATGATTTGTTAATTATAGTAAGAAATAACTAGGAAAAAAAATTAAACAGTAATAAAATTTTAGCCTGATGCTTGTGTTACACACAGTTTCCTTAAAACAGATTCGCTCTTTCACCGTACGTGCTTGAGGTATAATTTGAACGTTTGCTTCTCAAGATACAACGGTAGAATAATAGAATCTGAGTACCACAGATTTTACTCCGGCGAACTGAGTTAGTGCCCAAACAGTATCACCACAAAGACTGAAACAGAAACTGAAAAACGAAGACAAACTCGAACTGTATGCAGATGAATTTTCAGATGAAATTCGTGTGTTGAAAACTGAAAAAAATCGAGATATATATAGACTTGGATCTTGTAACTTGCCATTCACTTCATGGCAATTACCACAGGAGTTTTAACAGTTTCAGAAAAAATAAAAATGTGGACACTCCTAAGGGGTTGGAGCCAATTTTGCTCCTTTTTATCCGACATTCGTGTATGCAGGTCGTTCCCGCACACAAGTTTAAGGTTCAAAACCCATTTCGATCCATGATTTGCACCCCCCATGCGCGCACGTGGGTAAAAGGTGGTCCGTATGAAGACCCAGCCACAGCTCGTTACACGTGAAATATCACCAAATAAGGCCAACTGTAAGAAAGAATTGCCAAGCAAAGGCAAAGGGTATAAGAATGGATTTTTGTTAACTAATAAGCAAATTATTTTCCTCCATTATTGACGATTTCTCTTTTCACGGCTTTCTATCCATTTTTGGGTGATTTAAATTCTTGTTTTTGTACTCTAATTTTCATAATTAGCAACAATCACACCGAAAGAAAAACAGAGTCATTAAGTGTGGCCACCCAACATTTGAAGTCATGTAAAGAGTTATTACTACGACAAACAGAGAGAAAATGTTAACTTCCATTCGAAAAAGTAAACATTCTTCAAAAAGTGCAAAAGAGTTGGCTAAATAGTCGATAGTAGAATCATATCTTTGCCAAATTAAACTCCCAAATCTAAAACTTGCCCGATCAATGGTGAAATCAAAATAATACCAGCGTTGCTGTTGATGCTGTACGATATATTGTACGACAAATCCAAAGCCTGCGTGCCTAAGTACACAAATCCTATCACATTTACGGACATACAGTACCTGCAAATGGCCAAAACTCCATTTTATCAAAGCCCCAAAAGCCGAAAACCTCACCCATCTACAACTCAAACGAGCAATTTCGTGGAGTCAGGATTAGTGTTCTCAAACAAGCAACAATCCCTTCAAACATAGAACCATCATTCGTATGAATGTGCTAACAAACATTAGCATTAACTTTTGTATAACATGTAAAGGTGAGATTTGAATTATAATAAACCCACCTGAATTCTTTGTAAAGTTTGAATGAATCAAGAGCCCAACCCTGATTTAAAAGAAAATATTAAAAGAACTTTAAAAATTAATTAAAAAAAAAAACTTAATTATAACATTATTGACTAATAACCATAAACCATGAGTATCTAGCACACATTTATTCCTATTTATAATAAAATAAACTCAATAACTCTCAATAACTAGTACTTATCCAAAAAATAGATAACAACTATCAAATAACAAATTAAAAACTTTGTATTTATCATTTCATTTGAATTTAACAATCTTATCCCTTCAAAATCTTCTGATCTCTAACATCCTCATGCAAACTGTGTTGGGGCTAAAGGCACAGTTTGGTTCGAAAAATTGAGCAATGATTTTTATCTTCATTCTTGCGAAGATATGTTACATGTGTATATAAACATTTCAAGTGCTTCCCATACTGCATGAATTGTGTCTAAACCTATTGTGATGATCCAACCATGAATGAGAGGTTTCACCAAGCAATGAGTTCATTTGTTAATTTTGGTGTGAATTTACTTTTTTGTTTTTATATTGTTTGGATTTGATGTGATGTATTTGGTGGTGACAAGGTCTTCAATGGTGAAATGATCAACCTATTCTTGAACTCATTTGTCAATTTTGGTATGAAATTTTATGTTTCTGTTTTGTTTGGATTTGGTGGGATGTATCCGATGGACGAGAATTAATGAGAGATAGTGTAAAGAAGTTGTAAATATTTATGGTTGGCGAAGTGACAATGGAAGAGAAGACTTGTAAATATTTATGGTTAGCGAAGTGACAATGGAAGTGAAGATTTGTGGTGCGCCGGTGCTCACAATGGCTTTAATACTAATAAGAAAATATGAAAAGAATTTTAAA